GGGAGTATTGGAGTGTTTCTTGTTATTAAAAATGACCAAGGAAGGGTGTTTAAATAGGAGGTGAAAAAATATATCCGTTGCTCCAAGAAAAGAAGCTGTGATGAAAAATGCAGCATAATAATCGATTAATGCATCCTCAGAATTGATTAGTGCATCACCATAATAGATTAATGCAGCCGAAAAAATCGATTAAATCTGCCTGAACAAAATTCCTTCTAAGCCGAAAAGTGATAATCGATTAAAGCCTAAGGAATTAATCGATTAGTTCCTTCTGGACGAGATAATCGATTAATTTCATAGGTAATAATCGATTATTGCAACAATAATGCCCAGACATGAAGAACAAAAGCATGTGGGCGAGTTAGAAGGATAAAATTGAGTTTATAGGTTTGTTTCCAACAAAAATTTCAGGCGAAGGATCCCCATCACCTCAAACATTATTCAAAATTAATTTTGAATAAATGAAAGATATTTGGAGTGTAGAAATAGAGTCCAAAATTGTTTTGTGTGTCAAACGATGAACACGAAAATATTTGAATAAAATATTTTTGCTTTCCTAAAATATTTTTTAATATCAAAATAAATATTTTGATAAATGTTTGACACTCCTTTTGAAACTGACTCAATAAATGTTTTTTGTACAGTTAAAAGAATTTTTCTACTGACTCCAAAAATAAATATAATTTTTATTTTAACACTCATAAAAATAAATTTTCGAGAGAAGATATTTTTGTCATCCTTACAAATATTCCTAAGCCTCAAATAAATAAAAAGTCTTCAGAAATCTTCTACTCCTCCGAGTCCTCTGTTAGGCACTCCGAACGCGTCTTGGACTCCAATAAAATATTGTGCACCTTCTCGAGTACTTTAAGGAATGTCAATTCGAGTCTTCGTGTTTGTCGATGTAGCACTTTGATCTTGACTTGAATAAATTGTGTTTTTCAATTATCAAAACCTGTGAGTCAATACTTAACAACACAGAAATGGTTGAACTCATGCATTCCAACAATTTCGGCTACGACCAACCAAAACTGAAGAAAATGATATTTTTTTATTTATTATTATTTTTTAAACCCACACTCTAAATCATCCATAACTTTTATTCTAATTCATTCTTATTTTACAATAAACAAATTCATTTTAAAAAGAACAGTCAAAGCCGATTGTGTTTTTTTTCCTTAAAAAACTTGCATATATTTTTTTCTTTCTCTATATCTATATATGTACACCATAGATAAATAAAACAAAATGTTTACACCTCAAAATTATATACGGAGTATATATTTAGTTTTGGGTAACATGTAATCCATATATACTGTTGGGAAATGCTCGATCTTTCCCGCTTCGTGGAGTTAAGATAGGCAATTAAGAATTAATGTAGTAGTGAGAAAACAAGAGTTTATAATTCTCCAAAATGGAGATTCTTTCACTATATAGAAGAATAGTAGGATTACAAGAATATGTTTACAAGATTGACTCACACTATGGTGGCTCACTCAAGCTTGAGGGTTAGGACATCCCAAGCTTTACACTCTCACTCTCTAAGAGACTTCTCACTTTACAAGTGGATTGTTTTCTTCACTTTTGATAGTTGGAAGTGAAGGGGATTCTCCCTATTCATAGTACTCCTCCATGGGTAGTTTTAGGGTTCTAGAAACTTCAACATCTCTAGAAGTTTCTAACCTCCATACACTTCCATCATCTTCTATAACCTTACATAAGGTTCTAGAAGGCTTCACACTTCTCTAGAATATTCCGGAGGCTTCCACACTCTTCCACAATCTTCCATGAGCTTCTAGAGAGTTCTACACATTTCTAGAGTTCTCCGGAACGTTCTAGAAAAATCTTGACTTCTCTAGAGAGCTCTGGAAGTTTCTAGAATCTCTCCAATTAAGGAAGGAACCCAAAAAATCTCCCCCTCCTGACTTAATTGGGGGTAGTTGCAAACCGGCACCTTGACAGCAATGTTCGAACTTCTTTGTTGATATTACTTTGGTCATCATGTCTGACCAGTTGTCATCTGTGTGAACCTTGTCAAGATGTATTTTCTTTTCTTCAAGGGACTTCACGGATCCAATGATACCTTATGTCAATGTGCTTTGTGCGAGAGTGAAACGTTGAGTTCTTTGCCAAATAAATTGCACTTTGATTATCGCACTTTAGGATATACTTTTCTTGATCAATACCAAACTCATGTATCAAATTCTTCATCCATAACATTTCCTTGCATGCTTCTGTAGCTGCGATGTACTCGGCCTCGGTAGTGGATAATGCAACGCACTTTTGTAGCTTTGATTGCCATGAAACAGCTCCCCCTGCGAAGGTAGTTAGGTATCCCGATGTTGATTTTCGTGAATCGATATCACCGGCCAAGTCTGCATTTGTGGATAGACACCTTTTGGAAGTTCCACGTAGACATCGAAGGATCCATTTAACAGCACTCCAATGCACAGTCCTTGGGTTGGCCAAGAAGCGACTAACAACACCAACTGCGTAGGCGATATCTAGTCTTGTTCATATCATTGCATACATGAGACTGCCTACTGTAGATGTGTAAGGCATTTTCTTCATATCCTCTATGCCTTTTTCACTTGTGGAACTTTGTTTCGAACTTAGCTTGAAGTGTCCAGCAAGTGGGGTGTTAACCGGTTTTGATTTGTGCATGTTGAACCTTTCTAACACCTTCTCAACATACCTCTCTTGGGATAACCATAGCAGTCTTTTCGACCTATCACGAATTATACTCATCCCAAGGATTTGTTTAACTGGCCCCAAATCTTTCATGGCGAAGCTCTTGCTTAGATCTTTCTTCAAAGCAGCTATCTTTATGCGATCTTGTCCAACAATCAACATATCATCAACATAGAGTAGAAGTATGAGAAAGTCACCATTTTCATACCTCTTAACGAAAACACAATGATCGCTTTCTGTCTTTTTGAAATCATGCTCTACCATAAAAGAGTCGAATTTCTTGTACCACTACCTTGGTGCTTGCTTAAGGCCATAAAGACTCTTTGTGAGTCGACATACTAGGTTCTCATTACCTGGAACTTTGAATCCCTCAGACTGCTCCATCTAGATCTCTTCCTCCAAATCACCATGAAGGAATGCCGTCTTGACATCGAGTTGTTCAATCTCCAAGTCTTGCACTACTGCTAGCCCAAGAACAACTCGGGCAGATGACATCTTTACCACGAGAGAGAATATTTCTTCAAAATCAATACCTTTTTCTTGCCCGAATCCTTTGACGACCAACCGAGCTTTGTAGCGAGGTTTTGAGCTGTTGTCTTCGTTCTTTATCCGAAATACCCACTTGTTCTTCAAGGCTCTTCTCCCTTTTGGTAGCTTCACTAACTCGTAGGTATGATTCTCATGCAAAGATTGTATTTATTCTTGCATGGCTCTTTTCCAATCTTCATTATGTTCATCATTATTGCTTCTTTATAGCTTTGTGCCCCCCCATCAGTGAGCATAATGTACTCGTCTGTATTATAACGAGTGGATGGTCTTCTCTCTCTCGTGGATCGTCTTGGCTCTGGTGCTGTGAAAGAGCTAGATTGAGGTTCTTCATGTGCTTGTTCATCACGACTCTCCTGGTTTCTTTGTTCTAACATAGGCTCGTGATCTTTAGCATCATTCGTTTCTTGAGTTTCACTGTCTTCACTTCGAGCTAGAGTGAGATTGGCACTCTTGCTACATCTCAATCTTGGCCTCTCTAAATTTTTAATGTCTTCAATTGTTTGGTCTTCGAAGAATACAACATCCCTGTTACAAACAACCTTTCTGTTGAATGGATCCCAAAGTCAGTACCCATATTCATCCTTCGGTGAACGAAGGTAGATGCACTCCTTTGTCTTTGCATCATGCTTAGCTTGCTCATCTTTCGGAATGTGAACGAATGCTCTGCATCCGAACACCTTGAGTTGTTTATATGAAGCCCTTTTGCATGTCCAAATGTAACACCCCAACCCGCGTAACCCAAACCCGTGAGATAACGGACCGGTGTGCCACTGGATTGGTATCCGAATATACAACGTTTTCAAAACAATTTTAAACAAACGTTCTATCAATACATATAAAAATCCATTGGAGTAATTTAAAATAATGCGGAAGCCTTTTTAAAGTCAAACAACTTGGGATCTTGCCCGAAAACGTAATAAGCATTAAAGTTGATTAAATAAAGCATAATCAACAGATTAAAGAGACAGCCATGCCATCGTACATCTCCTCCTCAATGCCCTCTGGGATCGGCTCTAGGTTCATCTGTCTGATCACCTACGGACAGCAAAAAGGAAAACAACGCTATCCGCTCAGCATTGACGCTGAGTGGCACTCCATTGTAGCACGAGAATAAACATAATAATTCAATGATTAGATCGTGCATATGTTTATCCTTTTAATAAAAATCAATTCAACTTTAAATTCGGTTCTTTAGACGGTTGACCAACAGTCAACTTATTTTCTTTCTTTTCAAAATGATTTAGGTGTTACGGGTTTCTCATTAACTCTTTGACCACCGGTCAAACCAATTTAGACTTTCACCAAAGTCAAACCACTTAACATTTAATGCCTATGACGGAGATAGCCTCAATCCGTAATACCGAAGATAGCCTCAATTCGGTGGAGGTAGGATCCCTCGAGCGATAGCCTCAAACCCAAGATCACAGACCCTCGTGCGCACGTCTTAACCTCACCGACCAGGCCCTGCAGCCGCCCGAGCAATGGCCAGTTTCTATGTTCGACATGATAAACCAATTGACCTTAATCACCGATTAGAATTAATTAATTAACTTAACTAATTCATTAAAGTCTTGGATTTAACCATTCGGTCAAACCTACGTCGACAGAATATCCAGTCAAAGCCTAAGTCAAACGTGACCTAACCCGAGTCAAAGTCAAACCTATTCAGTCAATTCACAATCCTCAACAATTCAATTCAAATAATCAATTTAATTCAATTAACCAATTTAGCCAAATTATAGCATAAACACATATAACGATCCAACCCATTAAATCTATTCTAAATGCTATTAACTTCATAGTACGGACCTGGATTACACCGAAATCGAATCGATAGCTCGAACGGAAGACAAATCAACGAAATCAAACGAACGGGTCAAATTGAGTCAAAATACGAAATCGACCAATCAATCCGGCGTGGAGGTTAATCTGCCGGCGATATCAATCCGGGGCAGCGGCTGGATGCGGCGACGGTGACGGATGCCGGCGACAGTGGCGAGGCGGCAGCAGATCCCAGAAATCACGAACAGAGGAGAAGCTCCGGTGATGGCCTCTGTCCGGCGAAATCCCTAGCTGCAACAACGGTGAACCGGCGGTGAATCAGTCCGGTGAGTCGCATCGACCGCCGGCGAAGGTGGCGACCCGGCGTGGCGCTGCTCCAGAGGTCCGATTGCAGAGGAAATTGTGAGGAAGATGAAGAAGAGACTGACCTGAGCTAAGGGCGACGGCGGCGCTCGACGGTGATGAGCGGTGGACTTCCGGCGAAGACGAAACAGCGGCGATTGGAGACCGTCGTCGGCGGCGCTGACCCTGGCTGTAGGCGACGGGCTTCTGGCGACGGTAAGGCCGCAGTTGGCTGGTGCGGCGAGGGGGCGGAGGTCGGACGGCAGGGATGACCGGCGGCTGTTGAAGACGAAGAAGGAGAAGAAAGAAGAAGAAGGAGAAGGAGAAGATAACAATCGTGTGGTTATAATGGGTTTAGGTTTATTTAATGGTCCCATTCCTAAAAGGATTGGGCTTCGGACCCAAAATACCTGATTAAATGGTCATAACATGAGCTCCATAACTCCGATTCGTGAGCCGTCTGAACCGACGCGATCACAAAATTATTTCCAACGAGATGACATAAAAGTTGGGCTTAGAATCCAAATTATAATTTTAACCCCTTTTTGGGCCCATTTCGTAATCAATTGCTCTAACAATTTAATTAATTCTTCTGGGCCAGATTTCGGGGTGTTACATTTCTCCCCCGCTTAACAAGAATTTCGTCCTCGAAATTACCTGAGTCATTAGTCGCCGAAGAGGTGAGGGTACTGAGTTCGCATAGATTCTTCGGTCTCCCAGGTTGCTTCTTCCACCGCATGATTACGCCATAGTACCTTTACTAAAGGTACCGTCTTATTTCTTAGTACTTTAGTTTCGCGCGCTAAGATCTTAACTGGCTCTTCTTCGTAAGACAAACTCTCGTCGAGGGTTACAGCATTGGTCGGCAACACATGAGTCGGATCTGAACGGTATCTACGTAGCATGGAGACATGAAAGACGTCGTGAATCTTGTTTAGCTCTGGTGGCAACTCTAGCCTGTAAGCAATAGGTCCTATTCGCTCCAGAATGCGATAGGGTCCAATGAATCTAGGGCTAAGCTTCCCTTTCTTCCCGAACCGTAGGACCTTCTTCCAAGGTGAAACCTTCAAGAATACCATGTCACCAACATTGTACTCTATGTCTCGTCTCTTCAAGTCTGCATAAGATTTCTGTCTGTCCGAAGCAGTGCGGAGTCGGTCTCTGATCACACGAACCTTCTCCTCGGTTTCCAGCACAATATCTGGTCCCTCGAGCTTACGCTCGCTAAGCTCTGTCCAACAAATCGGGGTTCGGCACTTTCTACCGTAGAGTGCCTCATACGGGGCCATCTGAATACTCGCCTGGTAACTGTTATTATATGCAAACTCCATCAAAGGAAAGTAGCGTTCCCAATCTTCTCCAAAGTCGATCACACAAGCTCGCATCATATCCTCGACAATCTGTATCACCCTCTCGGACTGGCCATCGGTCTGAGGGTGAAATGCCATACTAAGGTTCAAAGCTGTGCCAAAAGCCTTCTGAAGTCCTCTCCAGAACTTCGAAGTGAACCGGGGATCTCTATCAGATATGATTGACAGCGGTGCACCGTGCAACCGAACTATCTCTCTAACGTATAAGTCTGCCAATTTGTCCAAGGAAGAGTCACGTCTAACGGGTAGAAAATGAGCAGACTTTGTCAACCTGTCAACAATGACCCAGATGGCGTCATTCTTTCGTGAAGATCGTGGCAATCCTATCACAAAGTCCATAGTGATCCTTTCCCACTTCCATTCCGGAATGGTAGGAGGGTGCAGCAACCCTGTCGGAACCTGGTGCTCAGCCTTGACTTGCTGACAAGTCAAACAGCGCGCAGTGAACTCGGAGATTTCCTTTTTCATAGCTGGCCACCAATAGGATTTCTTCAAATCCTGATACATCTTGTTACTACCCGGGTGCATAGTGTATACGGTTCCGTGAGCCTCGCGCAATAAGCGATCCCTCACTCCACCGCGGGGCACCACTAGGCG